TGTCAAAAAAATTAGAAGATATTTTTTCCTGACATATTTTAATTGATGTACGAAATCTCTTTTCTCCCAAAAACATCCTGCCAATGTGAAAGGCACTACATAAATGTAAACTATTGCTCTTCCCCCTGGGCTCCTTGGACTACATATCCTGTACTGATCCACTTTTTGGTACTCTCTGAATGCTGGCTGTTATATGGCCATTGCACAGGGCCTGGCTCTCTCTTTGATTTCTCACCCTTTCTCTCTGCAGTGAGGAGGGGAGTAGCTTGTCTTAGCCGGCTAGTTTCCCAGAGCAATGCAACAGAGATCTAGAACTCAGCAGCAGGAAAGAAACATTATTACCATACTGTAGATTCATACTGTGCTTTTGCCAACCATTTAAATCAAAATTTAAATTGTCTTTTCCTTTTAAACGCTCTGAAATGCTACCGTGGGTGAAGGGCATTGTATAAATGCAAGTTGTTGTTTTTGTTTTAAGTTTATTACTTTATTTGGTTGTCTTGAAATGGAGTTTTATAAATTATTTTTTATTTGAAGAACAAATTACCTGGTTTCACTCTTGTATACTTTCTGGTGACTGGCTAAGAAGCTGCTCTGACAGAGATCTAGTAGAGGTTCCTTAAGTGAATTCTTAACAGGGAATAGGATATGTCCTTAGGGTTAATAGGAAATAAATCCAATTTGATATTTGGAGAGTACTTTTTAAGTGATATATAATTCAACTTGTAGACTTTGCAATACATCTTGTAATCAATGAGTAAATTAGTATTTAATTTTTTCAGGTAGATAAACTAGTTTGTGTGCAATTTGTTCTGATGTGAGTAATCTATATACAGTACTTTGTGAAGGAAAACGTTTCTTCTGATTTATAGTGTACAAGACTTGTAAATCATAAACGTCTCACCTCTAATTCTAACCGCCTGTTTCAAGTCAAGATATGGATTACTTGCAATTTCTTTCCATAACTGGAGAATAAATTGATGACCTTTGGCCTTTTAATTTCAAAATAAATTAACAATCCCTGCAATTGATATAGCGCCTTATTACATTGTTGAAGTGTCTCAATACTTCACAGGATTTGCTATAAAGTACAGTGACTATGTTTGTAGGCAAACCTGAAAGCCAGTTTACACACAGCAATATTCCACAAACAGCCATGAAGTGAATAACCAATTTTAAATAATAATAATCCTTGCGTTTGATATAGCACCTTATCACGACTTCAAATATACAGTCAATTCACTTTACAGTATATTCTGTGAAGCGCTTTGGGACGTCCTCCCGACGTGAAAAGCGCTATATCAAATGCAAGGATTATTATTATTATTATTATAAGACACCCCAAAGCGCTTCACAGAATATACTGTAAAGTGAATTTGGAAAATTGAAAAATTGTGAATGTCACCCCTATATTTAAGAAGGGAGGGAGGGAGAAACCAGGAAACTAGAGAACTGTCAGCTTAAAGTCAGTTGTAGGGAAAATAGTGGAATCCATCATCAGGGACAGAGTGACTGAACACTTGGACAGGTATGAGCTAGTCAAGAGAGTCAGCATGGGTTTGCCAAGGGTAGGTTGTGTCTGACTAATCTAGTTGAATTTTTTGAGGAGATCACTAAAATGGTGGATAAGAGGATATCATTTATATGGACTTTCCGAAGCATTGGATAAGGTTCCAAACAAAAGATTATTAGCGAAAATGGAAGCGCATGGAGTCAGAGGTAACTTTGTGATGTGACTTGGTAATTGGTAGGAAGGCAGGAAGCAGAGAGTAGGGATAAAGGGAACGTTCTCTGATTGGCGGGACGTGACAAGTGGTGTCCCCCAGGGGTCTGTACTGAGACCTCAGCTATTTGCCATTTATATAAATGGCTTAGATGAAGGAACAGAAAGTTTTATATCCATGTTTGCAGACGATACTAAACTAGGAGGCTCAGTAAATTGTGTAGATGGGAATAAGAAGTTACAAAGAGATTTAGACAGATTAAGTGAAGGGGCAAAGCTGTGGCAGATAGAGTTCAATGTAGGGAATTGCAATGTCATCCACTATGGACCGAAAAAAGATGAAGCAGAATATTTTCTTAATGGGGAGAAATTAAGAACTGTGGAGGAGCAAAGAGATTTGGGTGTCCATATCCACAAATCACTAAAAACTAATTCCGAGGTGCAAAAAGTAATTAAAAAGGCGAATGGGATGTTGGCCTTTATCTCAAGGGGCCTGCAATAGAAAGGGGAAGAAATGATGCTCCAGCTGTACACAGCGTTAGTCAGACCCCATCTGGAGATTGCGTTCAGTTTTGAGCACCACCCCTCAGGAAAGATATATTGGCCCTGGAGGGGGTGCAGCGCAGGTTCACCAGAATGTTACCAGGCCTAAAAGGGTTAAGTTACGAGGAAAGACTTGGATTGTATTCCCTTGAGTTTAGAACGTTGAGGGGCGATTTGATTGAGATATTTAAGATGAGAAAGGAATTTGATAGGGTAGATACAGAGAAGCTATTTCCTTTGGTGGGGAATCCAAAACAAGGGGCATAGTCTTAAAATTAGAACCAGGCCATTTAAGAGTGAAATCACAAAACATTTTTTCACTCAAAGGGTGGTAGAAATCTGGAATTCTCTCCCCCAAAAGGCCATGGATTCTGGATCCATCCACACCTTCAAGAGTGAGGTTGATAGATTTTTGGTATGTCAGGGTATTAAGGGATATGGGGAGAAAGTGGTAAATTGGAATTGAAAGGATTAGTTAAGGTACAGATCAACCATGATCTAAATAAAAGATGGAACAGGCTTGAGGGGCTGAATGTCCTACTCCTATTCCTATGTTCCTATGAATTGACTGTATATTTTTGTGGAACAGCCATTTGCACACAGCAGTGTCCCACAAACAGCCATGGATCGAATGATTAAATTATTATTTTTTTGGAAGGAATTATTATCCCGGAAAAGTGATCCACCAATCGACTAACAACTGGGTTCTTTCTTACTGCTCGGTAAACAGAGGCAAGTGGCATAAGAAAATTTGCCGAACGTTTTGCCTTGCCGGGAATTGAACCCAGGTCCTCTCACTTGCGAGGTGAGTACTTTAACCACTAAGCTACAGGCTGTTATCTGGGAGATTATTAGGCAAGCCACTGGGAGAAACTCCTTTCCCTTTTTAAATTGTGCCAGGGATCTTCAACGTCTATCTGAACAGTGAGACATGGGATCTCAATTTACGGTCTCATCCGAAGAATGGCACCTCTGACAATGCAGTGCTCTTCCAGCCTTGCACTGGAGTTTCAGCCTAGACTATAAACTCAGAGTCCCGAAGCTTAAACGTTCCGACTCAGCAAGGCAAGAGTGCTACAAATTGTGCCAGGCTGACAAATAGGAGTTAAGGTCTTTCTCTACAAGAGTAAGATACTTAAAGTGAGAGAGATCTGTTCTGCTTTGTGATTGTTCTCTTGACTGGGAACTTCAATCAGAGGTTTAATCTTCAGCAGTCATTTCTGTAAAGAACATTATCTCTAGTCAGAGTGACCCACCATTTAGGTTCATGACAGCGCATTTTATTAGAGGCTGGTTATTAAATGTTCACCATCTCCTTTGAAACTTGAAGTTAAAAAAAACAGTAAATGTGGAGGACATGGGTGAGCGAACAGCCTCTAAACTGGCAATGATCCAGGATTTATAGATGACTTGCAAAGTAAAACATGTCAAATAAGTGGTGTTCATCAGAGGATTATAATTTCATCTGCAAATAATATTGGAATCACTGTTATTTTTTATTGTGTTTAGTTTCAGAATTATCAAGTGGTTTGTTAGGTCCTCCAGACATGAAAGGAGGTATATAAATGTAAATTGTATTGTAAATTGCATAATTGACTTAAGATAACCATATATCAGATTCACTAAGCCTGTTGTAACATTAACAGTACCAAATTCATGTCTAATGGTAAAATGGAAAGCTAATTTTCCTGATTTTGTTGCCTTTTTCAAGTATTTTGGAACTTGAAGATTGTTGGGAGTGTCTTAAATTCAAATCAGAATGAGATGCCTGCGTAAAAAACAAAAGTTAATTTGTTTAATGATACAATAACAAATTGGGGGCACAATATTTTATAGGTTCATTTAAATTGGGTTACTTGCATACCTGGAACATTGGATCATATTGTGAATGTTAATAAAATGAGGATATAAGAATGTAACATAGCACAATGCATATTTCTGTCCATTGTGGGCTCTCAACCTATTTTACTGAGGAAAGATTTTGCCTGTCCATTACAGGTGCTGCAGAATAACTACTTATTCTTCCATTTATTTATTCACTCAGCATTATACATTTTGAAATACCACTTCTCGATACGTGAAAGCTGCGACATTGATGTAAATTGAATTGTTTTGTATAAATATAAGATACACCCCACTTTTTGCCTGCAGGTGCAGCTGGATTTCAATGGGGCTGTATTTGTGAAAGAACCAGCACTGAGAATCTTTGTTCGTATTGCATCTATGCGCTTGACGAAGACGGCTTCCGGCTCACAGAAAGATGGCTTTATGGCACAGAATGTTTCTTGGCTGATGTGGTGGAGCCATCCCGGGGCATCGTTGAACCTCGGGATTAAGGATTATTTATTGTTAAAAATATCATTATTATTTACTAGGACTATGTATTTACTATTTGTAATTGAAGTTACATAAATGACCCTCACTTAGGTAGGTGGGTGGTCCTGGCTGGACAAGCAGTGGGAAATTCCCATGTGGGGATGGGATGCTGAGTTGGTTTGGATGCTCTCACACATGGTGATGGGTTTCCACAGGTGCCAGACACCCGACTGAGCAAAGCTAAACCCAATCCTGGTTGACGATTACCCTCTGCAGCCCCTGGTTCCTCTGCATCAGTTGAGGGACAGATTGCGTTTCCATGGCTGCAGCTATTTCCTGTTGTGGGACGGTTTAGGGTGTGACACCGCCTCAGTGCGAACGGGCCATCACAGGAAGTTACCGGGTGCCGTTCGTAGCAATGTCCGGTTCAGTCCGAGCCGCGGGCCGCCCTGACCCTCAGCCCCGGGAGCCGAGCTCCAGTCCGAGGCCCAGGTGGGGCCTGGTACTGGCCGGCGCGGCGGGCGGGGCGGCGCTGGCTCTGTACGTGGCGGCGGCGCCGTTCGTGGCGCCGGCTCTGCGGAGGGTGTGTCTGCCCTTCGTGCCCGCCAGCCCGGCCCAGGTGGACAACGTGCTGCGGCTGCTCGCGGGCCGCCGGGGGGCCCTGGTGGACATCGGCAGCGGCGACGGGAGGATCGTGAGTGTGGAGGGGCCCGCGGGGGGGGGGCGGTGGGCGCATTGGAGTCCTGTAGCTCAGTGGTTAGAGCACTCGCTTTGCAAATGAGAGACCTGAGTTCAATTCCAGGCAGAGGGCGAAACCTTGGGCAAGTTTCCTTACTCCACACAGAGCCTAATAATAATCCCTCCAAAACCCAAAACAATAATAAATTGGTCATTTTCAATCTACGACTGTTTGTGGGACATTGCTGTGCGCAATTGGCTGCCGCGTTCGCCCACAAATATGCAGTCAATTCACTTTACAGTGTGTTCTGTGAAGCGCTTTGGGACGTCCTCCCGACGTGAAAAGCGCTATGTCAAATGCAAGGATTATTATTATTATTGTTGTTATTGAGCTGGTGGCCGGAAATTACAATACGTTTGTAGCCCAAAGTCCACTAAAAATAGCCCAGAAGTAGCCCAGCATTGTGTGTGGGACACTCAGCAGGTCAGGCAGCATCTATGGAGAAAGGAAAGTGAGTCAACGTTTGGGGTCCACGACCCTTCGTCAGAAGTTCCACCATCTGCAGTATTTGGTGGTGTGATTATGTGTGACCGGTTGGACCACCTGCTCTGCCTGAAGATCTCCTGATGTTAAAAGTGCTGTATCAAATACCATCTTTAATACCAAATTATCAAATAGCTATTTTAGAAAGTGCCGCAATCAAACGTAAGGATTATTATTATCAAATGCGAGGATTATTTTATTTCAAAGTGTGAGGTATTGCACTTGGGCTGGAAGGCTAGTGGTTGGGGGTACAGGTGCGTTTGAAGTGGCGACGGGTTCAAGTTCATCAGTCATTGAAATCGAATTTGCAGATGCAGCAAAGCAGTCGGATAAAGCAAATGGGATCCTGGCATATATTGCAAGGGGTGTGGAATAACCTCAGCAACTTGCATTTATATAACGCACCTTACGCAGAGTAGTGGTCCAGAATGCTTGACGGTGGCGGAGCACGATCCTGAGCCAGTGGGAGGTGATTGTAGGCAAGGTTGAATAGGAAGGTCTTCAGGTAAGACCTAAAGATGGGGAAGGAAGGGATAAGGTGGAGGGATAGAGGAGGAATGTTACAGAATTTCGGGGCGTAGTGGCTGAAAGTAACAGTCATCTCCGCTCCCTAAAAACCCAAACCCGGCTGCTCGAGCACAGATGGCAGAAAACTGGCCTGACAGTTCACCACCAACTGTGGCTCGAGCATCTCTACAGCTACCGCCGTTCTTTGACGTGTGCGAAAACGGCCTTCTACTCCAACATCATCTTGGAGGCAAAAAATAATCCCAAAGTCCTTTTTTTCCACCATCCACTACCTCCTCCGTGCGCCCCCTCAGGCCTTCTCATTCTTCACATCTAATGCCAAGTGCGAGGAGGTCATGGACTTCTTTTCAACCACCTGCCTCTTGTCACCCACCACCACCCCCTCTCCGTCCCCCTCACGCTCCCCATCATCAGCTCCTACCACGACCCCCATCCTACATTCCTTCCTCCCCATCTCTCCTTCCTCCCTCTCACCCACCATCACTTCAATGAAACCCACCACCTGCTGCCTCGACCCCCTCCCCACCAACTTGCTGGTCACCCAGCTCCCCCTCCTCTGCCCACTACTGGCTGATGTCATCAACCAGTCCCTTCCTCTGGATCAGTCCCTGCCCCCTTCAAAACTGCTGTCATCTCCCTCTCCTCAAAAAACCTTCCCTAGATCCCTCAAACCCCAGCCACTACCGCCCTATTTCAAACTTACCCTTCCTCGCCAAAGTCCTAGAATGCGTTGTTGCCAATCGACTCTGCGCACCTCTCCCACTCCCTCTTCGAACCCCTCCACTCCGGCTTCCGCCCTGCCCACAATACAGAGACTGCGCTTGTGAAAGTCTCAAATGACATCCTCTTCATCTGTGACCAGGGCTCCCTCTGCCTCCTTGTCCTCCTGGACCTCTCCGCCGCTTTCAACACAGTCAATCATGCCATCCTCCTCCACTGCCTTTCCTCCATCATCCACCTCAGTGGGACCACACTCAGCTAGTTTGAGTCCTACCTCACGAATCGCCAGCGGTACATCTGCACAAACGGCTTTTCCTCCCGCTCTCACCCGGTTACCTGCGGGGTACCCCAAGGATCCATCCTTGGCCCCTCCTCTTCCTAATCTATATGCTCCCTCTTGGAGATGTCATCCGCAGACATGGGGTACACTTCCACATGTATGCGGACGTCACCCAACTCTATTTTTCCACCTCACTTTGCAACCCCCAGTCCCCGGATGTTCTGTCAGCCTGCCTGGCAGACATCAGGAGCTGGATAAGCGCAAATTTCCTCCAGCTAAATGTTGACAAGACGGAAGCCAAACCCTTTGGCTCTCGTCAACGTCTTAAATCGCATGGTTCTCACCTCCTCTACCTACCGGACCTCCGCCTAAAACTCTCCGAACTCGTACACAACCTAGGTGTCATGTTCGACCCCCAATTATCCTTTCTCCCCCACATCCGGTCCCTCACCAGCACCACTTTCTTCCACCTCCGACGCATCGCCCGTTTCTGCCAATACCTCTCCCCAAAAGCTGACAAAACCCTGGTCCATGCTTTTGTCACCTCTCGGCTGGACTATTCAAATGCCCTCCTCGCCAGTCTCCCCTCCATTACCATTCATAAAATCCAGGTCATCCAGAACTCTACCGCCCCCATTCTTACCTGCACCAAACTCCGCTCCCCGATTACCCCAGTCCTTGCCAGACTGCACTGGCTGCCTGTCCCAGAGAGGATTGACTTCAAGTTCTTCACTCTTGTCTTCAAATCTCTCCACTCCTCTGCACCTCCCTACCTCTCTAACCTTCTCCCTCCTCACAACAGTGCCTGTTGCCTTCGCTCCACCGGGTCTGACCTCCTCCTTGTTCCCCAAATCCTCCGCTCCACCATTGGTGGCCGTGCCTTCAGCCACTACGCCCTGAGACTCTGAAACTCCCTTCCTCACTCCCTTAGCTTCGCCTCCTCTCTTCCTATTTTCAGGTCTCGGCTAAAGAACTTTTCGACTGCGCCTTTGGTCACCTTCCTCCCCCTCCGCCTGGCTCGGCCCCGGGATCCGTGACTGTGAAGCGCTCTTAAGACTCTGTCTGGCGTGGAGGGCGCTATATAAATCCGAGTTGTTGTTGTTGTTGAAAATGCGGCCACCAATGGTGGAACGGAGGACCCAAGGGACATGCAGAAGGCTGGAGCCAGTCCAGCGGAGGCAGAGGGTTGGGGGGTAAACAGCTCGGAGTGATTGGGAGGTGTCAGGGCATCAAGCGATTTGAAAACTAGTGTGAGGATCTTGAAATTGATCCATTCGGGGGTAGGGAACCAGTGGAGACTGGCAAGAACTGGTGTGATGGGGGCATGGAGTTTAGTACGGGTGAGTATGTGGGCGGAGGAGTTTTGGATCAGCTGGATCCTGTCCATGTTGCAGCTGGGGAGACCGGCAAAGAGGGGATTTGAGAAGTAGAATAAAAGTAAGGAGGTGCTTCTCCAGTTACATTGAGCGGTGAGGTATTTAGTTTTGGGCAACCGATCAGATATGCAAGCCCTAAGGATGTTCAGTAATTAGTCACTAAATTAATACCTGGGCTAAAGGAGTTTAACTATAAAGAGAGGCTGGTTGACTGGGATTGTATTCCTTAGAGCAGAGGAGTTTAACAGGTAATTATGGAGGAAGTATTTTTTTAAAAAATAGGTGAATGATTCTTTCCCCTTGATAGAAGGATCTTTTACAATGGACCATAAATCAGAACTAAAACTGTTAGTTCTGATTTATGGTCCATTGTAAAGGATCCTTCTATCAAGGGAAAAGAATAATTCACTTTTTTTAAAAGTCAGGAAGCATTTTTCACACTCGGGGTTATGAAAATGTGGAATGCTCTTCCTCAAAAGGTTGTCGTGGTTGAATCAATAGGAATATTTAAGAAAAATACACATACTTTGGTAGTAAAGTTATTGAACAATATGGGAAAAGGGCAGGGATTAAAAGATTTGACCAGTTTTAATAAAATGGTGGAACAGGCTAGATGGTCTGAATAGCCTCCTGCCTCTGTCCGATAATAAAATTATATTAAATTAAAAATGACAATGAAGTTTTAGTTGGGTTTTGTTATGAATGTAAAACCGAGCAGCGAGTAGTTGTAAGTCACTAATCCATCTCTGGTTTCAGATGACTATAGTGACTAAGAGACGAGAGATGATTACGACCGTGAAATTAATCCCTTGGCATTTTTTAAGAAATAAATATGTAGTTAGAAATTGATTAGTTAGGATTGATTGGTTTTATACAGCTTGGGGTCTGTTGATTGTATTCTGTGATTCTGATGAATGATGGCATCCACACTGAGATGTAATTATAGCAAGTTTGTCAAGTGATGATCAACGAAAAAAACCCTGCATATGTGCATGTGTCTTATTTATAATGTATAAATATACACTGCAAAATTACACGTAATATAGATGTGTATATGTGTGTGTATACATAACATAATTACTGTGTGTGTGCGTTAGTTTCAATGGGTTTATTACTTAAATGAAAAGCGATGTTCTATGAAATGGAGTCCGAGCATTTGATTTGCAACCAATATCAGCAGATTTTCTCTGTCTTGCACAGTTTGAAGAACACTGTGAGACACCTCACTTGATGTGTTTCCACTCTGCGTGAAGACATTGTTAATCAACTGATCTTGTGATTCTAGCATCCTAGGCGTTCTCAAAATGATTAACTATTTGGACAAATGTCAGGATCTGGTACAGTAGCATGCTGAGTGGGTTATGACAGTTATATGAATTAAAAATTATATATGTTTGGCCATGTATATGTCAGTTCTTCACCAGATAAGCTAATGATTAAATGTTTATTTTGTTTATTTAAGTCTCCTCCAGGACAAAGTCAAATGTGGCGAGCGAGTATTAGATAGCGATTTGGCAAAGATTGAGGGTTATAAAAAGAGTTGTAGCGTAGAATTGTTTATTTTACTTTAGGACTACCCAGATGGACCACAATTGCTTTCCGACCTTGTACATTACGGAGTTGCTACTAGAAACATGCCCTGGGTTCTTGGGTTTCTGTATTATTGAATCTTTCTATTTATCATTATAAATCTGTAGGTAATTGAAGCAGCAAAGCGAGGATTTCGAGCTGTGGGATATGAACTGAATCCCTGGTTGGCCTGGTACTCCAGGTACAGAGCCTGGCGGGTCGGAGTACACCACAGCACTACATTTTACATCTGTGACTTATGGAAGGTATGGACATTTGGACTCTGTGCAGTATGTTGTGACATATTCTTAAAATGTTACTTGTATTTGCTAGCTTTACATTCTATGTTTTTTTTTCTCTGGAACAAATAATTTTAGGTGAATTTCTCAGAATTTAACAATGTTGTCATATTTGGAGTTCCTCAGATGGTGAGTACTATTAGAGAATACTAGTTGCAAGAGATCTCGCAAAAAAATGCAACGATTATTATTTTAACTTCCAGTACACACGCTACTTCAGTTAAAGTAACTGAACCCCAGATGTGTATGTTAAGAGTGTTGTTTCCAGTTGAGGTAGAAATTATTTGTTTAAGAAAAATTAAATTCTAGTACCGTCTGTACAAAGGTATTCAATTAAATTTGCTCTGAAAATTTGAATATCTTCATAACCGTTGTGGTTGTGGAGTCCTGTGGCTCAGTGGTTAGAGCACTCACCTCGCAAGATAATAATCCCTTCAAAAAAAAATAATTTGATCACTCAATCCACAACTGTTTGTGGGACACTGCCCTACACAATTGGCTGCTGTGTTTCTCCCACAAAGTCAATACAGTCAATTCACTTTACAGTATATTCTATGAAACGCTTTGAGTCGTCTTAAAGACCTGATAAGGCGCTATATCAAATGCAAGGATTATTATTATAGTGGACGGAGCTGTCGTTTACAGACCAGGAGCTGGTTTAAATTGCAGTCAGTGCTGAGTTTGATGGTCTCAGACAAGGCTGCGTGGTTTAGGGAGAGGAAATCATACAGGTGAAGAAACGTTAGGCTCGGCTCTGATGGCCTCTACAGTTGACACTCACTGCCAAGGCTCACACATGAACAACGGCCACTCAGATGGGCTCCCAAACGACAACCAGTGCTAGTGGAGCTGCACCACAGCAGGAGGAGGCTAGAGGGATGCCAGTGATTGCTTGTGAAGAGGCTGGGACCAGGAGGGGAGGTATAGTAGAAAAAAAGAAAAACACTGAGCCCACTAAGAGGGATTATGAAAAAAATCACTCTCGGCTGTCTAAGAGGCTTAAAAGAGTTGGTCTCAATCCATTTTCTATGAGAAGTTATTAGCAGGAATATTAATACTTGCATTTGATGTAGAGCTTTTTCACGTCTCAAAATGCATCACAGGATTTTTCTGTGAAGTGGAGCGACTTTTTACTTGTAGGCATGAATCCATAGCCCACAACGCTAAACCGCTTTAAAATAGTTCATGTCTGAGAGGCCACGCTAATGGGTAATGTGTGATTGGGAAAACTTGACAGTGCAGTGGGATATTGTCAGACTGGAATTAAGGCACTTGTTGGTGTACATTAGACAATACATTGCAGCCTGTTTTGCCAGACCTTTCAAAGCTTGTTCCTTATTGGGACAAATGTGCCAATTCTCAGCACTCTCACTCTGCCTGCTGACATTTCCTGCAGTGAGCTGTCTGCTGGTATTTCCAGAATCCAGTTTCACATCCCCATCCTCCATTGCTATATAGCTGCAAGCAGGTTATCTGCTCTTTTAAACTTTGTTAAGGTGCTGAGAGAATAAGAAGGGCAGGAGAAGAAAAAAATAATTAGGAAGAAGTGGTTTCATCTTGCAGCAATTTTGGAGTTTATTTTTGCCGTTTAAATCATTGTCGTCGGGTATAACAATGTTATAGGTTTGTTAAAGTTGTATTGAGAACCTGAATTTTGCATAAATGGTCGTTCTGAAATATAATGCTAAGTTGATCAATTACTTCATGGTTGTCAGTTGATATAAAAATTGAAGGCAGTTTGAAACTTGTCCCCTAATATTTTTTTCCCCACTTTGATTCCTTTTCACCTTTCTTTTCTCCCCTCCCACCCTCCCCCACCCACCCCCCCCAAAAAAAATTTGTGTCTATGTCTGGGTGCAGAAATTAACTAGCATGTACTGTGGACTACATTTACAAGGATGTCAGAATAAGGCTCTATCATAGAATGTACCTTTAACTGCGTGATGGAAGACTGTAGGATATAAATCGAAGTGATGGAGTGGATTGTTTATAATTGAGAAACAAATGCTTTTTTATAATACCTCATCATATCAAAATCATTGTGCTTCACATGTAATTACTGTCAAATGTAGTGAGTGTTTGAAGACAAAATACAGCCATTTTGTTCATAGCACAACCCCACCACCAACTATAATGTGAATAACGAATCAATCTGGGGAAATGCTGCCAGGGCATCCAAAATAAATCCCTTATCTTTTCAAGTGTGGGATCTTTAACATCCATCTGAACAGGCGAACAGGATCTCACTTTCATGTCTCATCCAAAACTGCAGATGGCATGAATAAACCAGATTCTAAAATGATGTCAGAATCTGATGTGCATAAAAATGTAAGAACAGTACTGATAGATAATTCCTGGTTGGGATAGTGAACAGTTTTGCAAAAAAAGTAAATATAACTAGAGGACATGAAGTGAGCAGAGAAGTCAATAACCTGATATTGGCATCAATTACTGTAGTACTGAGAGAATACTTTGTAATGGAAAATAAATTCAGAAACCCATTGTGTGGGTGTTAAATGTGACAATTTATGGCTGTAAAATAGCAATGTAGCATTTGTGTTGGCAGTACTTTTGCTCAAATTTTGGATCTATGTTTCTTTCTATTGCTATTGCAGATGCCACAGTTAGAAGAGAAACTTCAGCAAGAGCTGAAGGGAAGTGCCAGAGTCATCGCTTGCCGCTTCCCATTCCCCAGCTGGACTGCCAGCCATGAGTCTGGAAAGGGTATCGACACTGCCTGGTCATACGATTCAAAATCATTTAAAATAACAGGGAACGAAAGTCTAAATAAAACAACGGAAAGGACAGGGCCGGTGTGATTTTCATATCCCTATGGTGTAGCTATAGAGCTGCCCTTCAGAATTCAAGCACTGGAACACTTTGACCAGTCAACAGAAACCAGTCTGCAGCTGCAATGTTTTCAAGCAATGGCATCAGAATAATTGATTATTGTTACGTGTCTATCTTGTACAAAGCGGATGTGGATGAGAAACAACACTTATGTAAATGTGAGGAAACTACAGTATTTTGACTTTCTTACCTCTACAAGTCTCATCCAAGTAAATTATTGCTTTTCATGAATTTGGGAGTTCAGAGGTGATTACATCCCTCATTACTCCTTCTCGACACTTCTCTCCTACCCCCCTCCCCACCTTCTCTCCTTCCAGGTCTGTTCCATTGGCTTCCTACCAGGCTTCGCGACCACATCACTCCTACCCTCGCTCGCCTCCACTGGCTCCCCATCCCCCAGAGGATTGATTTCAAGATCCTCATCCTCACCTACAAGGCCATTCACGGCCTCGCTCCCTCCTACCTCTCCAACCTACTATCCCCTACCTACCTGCCCGTAACCTCCGTTCCTCTGGCTCCGGTCTGCTCCACATCCCCCGCCCCAACCGCCCTACCATCGGTGGCCGGGCCTTCAGCCTCTCAGCCCCGAGGCTCTGGAACTCCATCCCCCAGTGCCTTCGCCGCTTCCTCCCTTTCCTCCTTCAAGGCCGGTCTCAAAACCTTTCTCTTTGACCGTGCCTTCAGCTCCCCTCTCGACTCTCTTCCTCCTCCTCGCTCCCTCCCTTCCCTCCCCTCACCCTGACCATTTCCCCCCTCCTCTCTCCCTCCCTTCCCTCCCCTCACCCTGACCATTTCCCCCTGCTCGGGTCATGACCCTACTGTGCAGCGCCTTGGGACGTCCTCCTGACGTGAAAGGCGCTCTATAAATGGAATCTTGTTGTTGTTGTTGTTGTTCCTCTGCTCTAGCCCAGGCATCTTCCTCTGGGCTCATCATGGTACCCGCAGAGAGGAGCACTATCTTTTGGTTTCACTTCACGGCCTGTCTGTTCTATCCCTGGGAGTGAACTGCTCATTCACAACCCCACCCTTCCTGATGCTTCTCCTCCCTCTTTTAGTTAGATATAGTTCTTTCAGATCTGATTTTCACATTTTTATGGTGCTCTGTATTTTAATGCTTTTTTTTCAATTCATTCCAGATTTTTTTTTAACTTTTCTGCACCTTTTTGAAGTGAGATATACATTGAATCACTTGTGCCTACTCTAAGAAGTGTGCTTTGTATAGTCAATCGTCTGCAGGGCAAACGTTGTCTGGATTCCTATTGCAATTTGTAAGCAGTAAAATCGCGTGTCAGGACTTTGGTGCCATACAGAAAATGAAATGTCAGTGAAAAACTTCTTGGTGAATTGAAAATTTGGCAGAGTTGTCTATCAATAAGAGGACTACTGACCGTAAATTAGTGTTACTGAAGTGCTGTTGGCAGTTCTATTGATGGCATTCTGCAGAGCTGTCTTGAATTATGAGTGCTGTACTTTGCCAGGATGGAGTTCTACAGGGAGATTCTCTGACAACTTTGAAGAGAGGAGTAGGAACCAAGAAAGCAAATTCTTGCATCAATTGAACAGTTTGATTTTTTTTTCCAGCTTTGGTTTAAGTTTCACAGTCAGAAACTTGTATGTGTTCTGCCAAGTAATTATTGCAGTACTGTATATAAGTTAGCTTTGGCTGTGAGAGACTAGCAAACAAATATTCAGTTGTAATGTATACTACAGTATTGGTGTTCTGGTATGTTGTGTAAGAAGGGAGATTGTTTCCTTGTGTTGCCTTCATATTTGAAGGGAATATTCTTGACCTTCAGTTGACTGAGCTGGTTCCTGAAGCTTCGTGCCTCAATCTGAGAGAGATCAATGCACTCAGTGTTTTCAATCTGACAATTTAAATCCTAGAAATGTGATACTGAAGAGAATGTTGCTGTGCTTTCTTTATTCAGCATAAATTTTGTTTTATTTCAACAAGTCGTAATAGTGTAAGATCTAAAAATGGGATATAATAGCCAAACCTGTTAAAGCATTCACCTGCTGAGGTTAACCACCTTGGACTGATTTTCTATACTTCAGCAACAATCTATCTAACCACCTAGTGGCCACTTTTTTTTAGCCCTGTCGGTGTACAGACACCCTTCTCAGCGGCCAGTTAGAAGTGAATTTAAGTCTACTTACAGGTAATGTATTGCCAATTTCCATGGGCTCGCGTGTAGACTCCAAATGCATTTACTGCGCTGAGTAACCCTGTGATACCTCACTGATGAGGTGGTATTATAAATGAGCTAGGAATCTAGTGGGAGTCTGTACATGGGCCTGTGATTTTTAAAAAAAAAATTCAGGTCAATGAACCAATGAACCCTTACTCAGAAGCCACCCTTACATAAAGGCTACTTTGGTCCAGTCCCACCAATGGTTGCTGAAAAACAGGTTTGGCTGTAATTTTGTTTGATCTGGACCTTAACACATTGAAATATGTCCAGTGCATTAGAAATTTTCCATAACGTGTTGTGACTGTATATTTATGGGCAAACACAATTTGGAGAGATTAGCACGTTTATTTTTTAAACACACAAATACACAGCAATATGCACAAACAATATACCACGAACAGCCATAACGTGAATTATTTTTTTTCTCTCTCTCTGGAGGATTGGTGGCCAGGATGCTGGCAGAAACTCCCTTCTCTTTTTCACTAGCACCATGGGTTCCTTAATATCCATCTGAACTGGCAAATGGGACTTACATTTTAAAGTATCATCCGAAGGACGACAGCAATGTGATAGGTTTAATAGAAATAATAATAATAATGAGACTGCTCAAAGTGCTTCACAGATTATACCGTAAAGTGTAGTGACTATGTATTTTGTACTTAAGCCATCACACCAGGCATTCCATGTCCTAACAATTATGTGTGTTTAAAAAAATAAACTTGCTAACCTCCCCTCTTTGCTGCTTTGTTAACTATCTTAAAATGTTGCCTTCCAGCCACTAACTTGAACATTTCCTCACATCATTGGATCTTTAGCACCCACTTGAACCTTGGTTTAATATCTCATCTGAAAAGCAGTACCTCTGACAATGTAGGACTCCTCTAGTACTGTCCTGGAGTGTCATCCTGGTCTATGAACTCAAGTGCCAATAGGGTGAGAGCACTACTGTCTGAGCCAAGCTTTATGCCCCCAAAAATAAATTCTCTATTACATGACCATGAAGTACTATAAGTTAAGTCCGCTTGTATGTAAGTTGTTTTGAGTTTGGCAATTTACTGTTCTTTCACACAATTATGGCAACTGTAATTGCATGCAAGCAAACCTAATGCAACTGGACTCCATCTGCCTTCCATTCTTCCAGGTTTCTGTCACCGACACACGTTCTATGTACCTTTAACATATGAAAAACCTCTTTTTTGTAAAAAACATTAGGCACTTTCCTATGGAGAAATGGGTCATCACCTGCCAATCAGTAAATAATGGGAGAACAATAAAAATGAAAAGCACACTACATAGAGGATGATTTTGTCACCTAAATTCAAACCTGTAACAGTGAGAATTGTTTAAAACCTTGTCCACAAGTAATCCTAAAGTGGCTGATGTGGGTCACTACAGTTTCAGTTCAATTTGTCCCTACATTCTGCTGCTTAAATATCAAACCAAGGAAGAGTTGATTCAGACCTCTGCCTATTGAAGCTATGTGAATTAAAGCTGTGGAGATTAATTTTGTAATGATTAAATATTAATTTTCTGGTCAGACTCAGTTCTACATTATACTGTGGGTGTAGTGTTTGATTGTTTGGAGAACTGCCTGTTGCTTCTTTGCCTTTGGTTTATTAGCTGCTCAGTTAGCTTTGGCTGATAATGCTAACTAGCTGAAGGTTATTCAGTGTGATATTTTTAGGTCAAAAACATAATCTGATTCCCTCAGTCAAATTAATGTCAATAAAATAAGACTTAGCTGATCTTGCATAGCATTTTAACCATCTTCTTTCTTGGATTGAATTGGGCTGAAATTGAGTGCCAGGAATACGTGTGGGAATCCGCAAACCATGCTCTCAGTTATCAGCAGTCACTCAAATGATGTGTCCTTGATGGAAAAATGGTAATTACAGTAACTGGATACTTGAAGAGCAACAACATGGGTCAAATTGGGCCACCCTCCAGGCTTTCAAAATCTGTCTAAAAATTTATTTGACTGTGCCTTCGGTCACCTACGTCCTAACCTCCGACCAACCCAGGTTCCCACTCAGAATTTGTAAAATACTTTTAAGACTTTCAAAATTTATTTCCCTTCATGAAAGGCATTGTATAAATGGTATGAAAATATTTCCTGCTCCGAATTTTGCCTGGGGACAGCAACCTGACAAATGTTTAGGATTTCTCATCTGAACACTGAACTATTATGTATTATTTAATTCATGGTTGCGTTCAATACAATTAATATCACAGCTAATATCCTCCAGCAGCTCCTTGCTACTAACCACCATTTTCATTAGCGTTATCTCCATGCCTTTGCTTTCAATATTCGGGTCTTGGCTCCACTTTTCTAGTTATGCATTTCAAAATAATTGTTTCCTCCTTTTGAGGACTGCTTTTTTTGTGGAAAAAAAGGATTGATTGTCTTCTTTTTGAGAGCAAATAAATAACCAGTTATTAAACTAGCTAGTTTGGCCAGACATGAACTAACATCGTGCACACTTGTGACCTTCAGTCCTATGGCAGCTTTTAATATATGTAACACACACAAACATACAGAACAATGTTTTCTGGGTTCTTTTCTCAACCATTTCTGTGTTGTGGGCTATCTTGAAATTTTCTGTGGAATGAAGAATTTTCGTTTATGTTTTTGGCATGGAACTCGCATGTTTTAGATGGGGAGCTAATATTGTAAATTTTGTTTTTTAAAAATGTAGTTTTGTTGCTTTATTGATGATTTATAATAATCCTTGTGTTTGGTATTGCGCCTTTCAGGTCGGGAGGACATCCCAAAGGTGTAGTGACTATTTTTTTAGGTGAATATGTCAGCCATTTGTACAACAGTAACTTGCATTTATATAGCAGCTTCATGTAGTAAAGCGTCTCGGAGCGCTTAACTGCAACCTATTCTGATTTAACAAACACTGAACATATCTTTATTTGTTTATAGTTCTTGTTATCTCGTCCACCTCGCTCCCCTGCTTTCCTCCCAACACAAGCACAATCTAAAAAAAGTCATTGAAATGAATATTTTCCTTTTTTTAAACAAAATGCTTAATTAACCAGACCTTCTCCTTGAAAAGTTTGGAATAACCAACAGTGTTGTCGATGACAGTGATAATTGCTTTAAAAAACGCACTATGGTGTGCAGGGGTCAGTTTTGTGATGGTGTTTATATAACTGGTTTCCTAGTGTATTTGGCTGTC